AGCAACGAAAATAATTTTATGGTTGGGGGTCACCACAACATGAGGAACTGTATTAAGGGTCGCGGCATTAGGAAGGTTGAGAACCGCTGCTCTAGAGAGATCAGCTAAGTTAACTAAAAATTTTACAGTCCCTTAGAGGTGGCAATTAGGAGGTCAGGCCAGTTTCGGAGATGTGGTGGGGACAGAACCCTGATGGCTGTGTGTGATTTCTCTCGTGATAACCTTAGCTGTGCAAGGAAAGAAAAAGGAGACTGCAGGGTTGGCACATAAGACATTTAAACATGTTACTAGGTTATAAGAATGTCAGCTGAGAAACATTTTAACTATAGCTCAGAGAGATTGATGGTTTTTAGGAAAAGGAATGGGGTTGAAAGACCAGAGAAGCACATGATGCTCTTAGCTTAGATAAAAGGAGTTGAATATAAATATATGTAGGGGTCAAAAGATGAATTAATGCCTTACAAGTGGTATATGCTCTGAGACATATCAGGCACTGTCACTTGAGACAAAAGGGAAGAGTGAACTTAAGAAACACAAAGATTTATTAATTGCTGAGCAGAAAGGGAGGTAAAGAGGGACACTAAATAATACAGAGGGTCTCGGTAAGGATGGAAACCGAATTTATAGCAGTGTCATTCTCTAGTAACATGCCATTTTACAACTGGAACAATGGAGAATATAAGCGATTAGATTAATAAAACTTGTGTATTAAGGCGATTACTCATAGAGTGATAAATTAGTCTGATATTCAACATCTTTCCGGAGGGATGAATGCTTCCGAAAGGCAGGGCAGGGTATGACCACATCTCCTTTTGGGGAGAACATAGTTGACTGATGTCTGCAGCTTCTTTTCCCCCCGAATCCATCACTGTTTATGCCAAGGCTGCACTTCCTGCAGGCTGTTGCCAGGCAATGACTAAGCATGGCGGAGGTACTAAGGCAGGCCCCTCTGGTGACAACTCCAGCGGGCAGGTTTGGCTCAAGGACTCCCTGGTGGCCTGGCTGAACCTTCCTTGGAATTCTGCTGCGGTCTAGGACTTCTGACCCAATCTTCCTTCTCTCTCGTTCCATAGTCAGCCCTGCAGTCAGTCTGAAGCACGTGATGCTTTCTGCTCCCTTCTCTAGAAACCTTTTTACATGTCTAATCTTGTCTTACCACCTGCTTCTCTGCAGACCCAAACTAACACAGGAGTCAAGGCATATGAAAGCGACAGGAAGGAAACGGTTGAAAAAATGAGGCACGTGTTAGAAAGCCCGTTTTGTCATTTAAACTCTGATATTAAGATACCAGAGGTGGCATTGATTCCTGGTGATGACAAGGTCAGGTCAGGTACAAGCAAATCAGGATGAAGCGCTTCCAAAGATATTTTGCCAAAGGACCTGTTATTGTTGCTGGTGGCTGAAGGTGAAGGATGGTTGTCCAGCCTGTTGGAATCCCCCAAACCTGATGACTTTAGCAGAATGTTCAAATGGGATGTTGGGAACATGATCGGGTATCTCTGGAGAAAAGTTTTCACTAGATAAGTTTTCACTGAAATAGCTCTAGATAAGATCACGGTGAATAAAGATGGTATGACAACTAAGAGCTTGAGTTATTGCGATAGGAAGCTCAGTGGTATTTAAGGGTCTTTTTTGTGTGTGTTTATTTTTGGACTATTGATAATTTTCCCATAAGAAAATACTGTAGATGTTTTTCTCTAGAATTTATAAGAATGTAGTCGGTGTAAGTTCAGAAGGTGATTGGGACCACAAACAGGCACGTTCTATATTAGAAGGGTAAAAAAAAAAGTTCTGTGTTATCGTGGAATATTACCACTTGTTCTCTCTTATCACTCAATTGTAGAATGGCATTTAGCAGGTTATTTATCTGGGCCTTGGTTTTGCATGTGCGAAATGAAAAAGGTTTAACTGGGGCCTTACCTGTGATAGTCTATAATTATCTGACTATATTATCAAGTGTATCTCCTGTAGGCGGGGAATTTTCTCCTTTGCCCATCACATAAGGAAAATCTTCTGGAGAATGAAGGCAACAGAGAGACACGTTAACACATGGAAGGAGGGAGACATCATTCTGGTGACATTTGAGCCCATGGCTCCCACCATACTTGCAGCCATGTACATGTCAAAGCCAAACAAATGCCTGAAGCCCGTCAGTTTCCTTTTTTGTTTAAACTAGTATGGGATGGAATTCTATCACTTTCAACCAAGAGTCCTAATATAAATACCATCTTAATGGTACTCATCAATAGCATCCCATTCCTACTTTATTACGGGGACACTTCTGAGTCTAACTATTAAAAATTAGCACACTCCTGAAGGATGACTATGGTTGGTGACCTCTAAGCCACAAGCCTGGACCTCTGCATGAATAAAGAAGGAAGAGGTTTTTTAGTTCCGTACCCTGTTGGTATATTATTTGTATCATTCTAAGGCTTGAAATAGGAATTTTAGTTACCTGGTAAAACTTGTAATAGACTTTTAAAATAATCCATTAATTCTTGGTTAAATGTTCATTTGGTTTATTACTAAAACTGCTGGGTAATCCTGTATTAAACATTTTATAGCTAGTAATTTACCTCTTGCTAATAAAATCATGTGTTAAACTTTCAATTAGGGTTTATGGGGAATTAAGGTACAAGTTCTGTGCTCTTGGTTTTTATCTGCTCATTAAAAGCGAGAATGTAAAAGTGATTGAACAAATAGGGTGAGAAGGCACTGATTAGATTTTGGTGAAAGCTAATTAATTGTAAAGCCAGTTAGCAAGGATTTTCATTGGAAACATCAAATCTCCAGGATTCAGAGAAAGATGATCAGTTTCAGGATCTTTCCCAGGATTTCCTTATTATTTATGGTACAGAAACCTCTACACAGTAGATGATGAGCTCTCTTAACATCTTCCAGTTCTCTTTAAAATAAACTTCTTTTACTGCTTTCATACAAAAGAAGCCTCCACAGAATTTTGTGTGAAGTGCAGGACAGGACTGAGAACCTAGGGATTCTGGGCTTCTGTTTCTGTAAAACATCTAAACCATAACGTGGTCCCTCCCAGGCAACTTCAAAAAATAGTAAGAGTAGGCCATTTTTATAGTTTCTGAGTGGTCTTTGTATAGGAAATCTGGAACGTGATGCTTGTGATTTATCATTTAAGAATTCTGGAAAGAAGAACCGCCCATTTTACAATAGTTAAATGAATCTCTTAAGAAAAAAATTTAACCCTTATGTTACTGAATATGTGATTTTCAGGGTATTATGAGAATTGTATTATGCAATTGTTTATTCCATTGGTAGGAACGGATCCAAGTTTTGTGGGTGTAAGGCTTATACAATTTTAGGGAGCCCCCTTTTAAAACTGTGGAGATAACCCCCCCCACCCCCCACACACACAATTGACCTTTGAAGAATGCAGGGACTAGGGGTGCTGACAGCCCCCACCCTTCAGTAAAAATCTGAATACAACTTTTGACTCTACAGTTGGCCCTTTGCGTCTGGGGTTCAACCAACTGCAGATTGAAAACAGTATTTTTGATCTGTGGTTTGGAATCTGAAAATACTATTTTTATCTGCAGTTGGTTGAATCCATGAACACAAAACCTGCAGATATGAAGGGCTAAATGTATTTATTTTAAAAAATCCACATATAAATATATAGGTGAACCCATGCAATTCAAACCTGTTGTTCAAGGGTCAATTGTCTATGTTAACACAAAACTTACCATTTTAACCATGTTAAGAGGACAATTCAGTGGCATTAAGTACACTCACAGTGTTGTGCTACATTACCATTATATATTTCCAGAACTTTTTGATTATCCCAAATAGAAACTTTGTACCCATTAAACATTAATTTTCCATTCCCTTTTCCTCCCAGCCCCTTGTAACTGCTTGTCCATGTTTTGTATCTATGAGTTTGTCAATTCCAGGTATCTCATATAAGTGGAATGATACAATTTGTTGTTTTGTGTCCGGCTTATTTTACTTAGCATAGTGTTTTTAAGGTTCATTCGCATTGTAACGTATTAGAATTTCATTCCTTTTATATATACATGCAATATATATACATGCAATATTCCATTGTTATGTATGAACTACATTTTGTTTATCCGTTCATCTGTAGATTGACACAGGCAGTTTCCACCTTTTTGCTGTTGTGAATCATGCTGCTACAAACATTGGTGTGCAAATATCTCTTGAAGTCCCTGCTTTTAATTCTTTTGGATATAGGGGGACCTCTTTTAAGAAAAAGGATACAAAACAATGAATACAAATTTATATACAAAAGGGAATATTTGGAATGAGAAAAAAAAAGACGATAAATACCACAAACATCACAAAATCCAGAAAAATAATATTATTAACTGTGATAGAGACTGTAATACTTTTCTTTCTCCCTGCATTTTTTTTTGGCTGCATACTCTGATCAGTTCTTCATAAGACAACAAGTTTACAATATCAGTTTCTGTAGAGAGAATGAAAAGATAATTCATTCTCTAACATGGTTGATTGAAATTGGCTTTTTATTAATAGTATAAAAATTTTCTTTCAGCTTTCCAAGTAATTCTTGGTGATTCGTCATTTCTAACTTCCTCTGCAGTGTCTTGCACTGGTGGTGCTTCTCACCTACAGGCAAGCCCCTGGGGGTTCCAGCCCTTTGATCGCCCTCTACACTGTCATAGGTCTCGCTCAGCCAAGCTTGGAGTATCTGGTCCTTCCCCACTCCCTGAACCCTACCTCTGCCAGGCTGGTCCCGGGTTGGTGAATGAAGCCTGGGTCATAGTGGTTCCCAAGCAGGGGCTCATTTAGACCTTTCTCGTTGGGGTGAAAGATAACTCTGGATCATTAGTGAGGGCTGGTGGATGTGTGGTAGTGCTGACAATCTCCGACGGCCACCAGGGACTAGGGGATGACTCCCAGGCTAGGGCAGGGTTCCACAGCTTCCACGAGCGAGCCTGGGGCTGCTGCTTCCTTCCTTTGTCCACTGAGGAAAAGGCCTTGGAAAGGGGCTTTTCAAGTGAGGGACCCTGATTCTGATGTTTCCTTAGTCTCTGTCCACTGGGCCAACTAAGGAACCGAGTGACCTGCTTGGTAAGAAAAAATACTATTCATGGAGAGGACTACTTCCCAGTTCTTGAAGCCCTCTTCTTCCTCAATGTTGGGACCCAGAGACCCTCAATTCCAGGCTCAGTACCCAAGACCCAAATTAGAAAACAAATTTAAGCCCTTCCAACTTTACATTCTGTGGCTCAACATCTAGTTATCCTGGCTTCACACAGCATCTCAATAACAAGTCCTACGTTCTTTTTATGCCTTGAACCTTCAGTTAGGGAGGTCGCGCTTCTTGCTAGTGCACTGCTCACAGGCACACAGCACCACATTCAGATTCATGAGAGAAGCCACCTAGGAGAACAGGCTTCTGTCATCTGTCAAATCTGCATGCTACTTACGAGCAAAGCCTCACTTAAGAGTGCAGGAAAATGGAAGTTTGCACCCTTGAAAAGGTCCCTCACATCTGCAAAATACCTGCTGATGAAAATTCCTGATGCTCAATGTCGGCTTCTGAGATCAAAGTTGAGATGATGGTATTTCCCCTCAACATTGTATTATGAAAATTTTCAAGCATACAGTAAAGTTAAAGGAATTTAGGGCAAACATTGTATACCACCACTTGGATTCTCTTCAACATTTCACTATACTAGTTTTATAATACTTATCCATCCATTTATGCATCCCTTAATCCATCTTATTTTTGGTGCATTTCAAAGTAGCTGCTAGCAATCAGAACTGCCAGAGCTCAAGGCATCCACAACTCTGCAATGGGAGGGTCTGATACGCAGAGCCCAGGTCTGGTACCCTAACTGCAAAAGAGGCTGGAAAATGACAACATTGGTTCTGTCTCTTTAACACAGACCAAAATAGGGTGATTTAAACAAGATATCTCTCATGGAACTATCCAACCAGGTGAACAATCAAGGGTGAAGGGCTCTCCCTTTCTCATCTCATCATTTTCTGGAATATTGCTTTTTTCTTTTATGCTGGGAAATGGGATAACACCAGCCCTCCATCCAAGTTCCAACTGGTAGGAGATGAAAACCATGTACATATAGGCTAAAATAAAGTTACACTCAAGGAATGGGACATTCCTCAGATTTGGGGCGGTTGGCTTTCTGGGTCAGGGGGAGGGGTTACAAGACATACATTAGGGAAATGGATCCTGTCTGGGTAGCTGGAACCACATCCTAGAATAGGAAATGCTTGATCATCCTATCTCAGTGTGGAGTGCAGCATAATGGTTTCACTTCCAACTCGTCTCACCCTCTTTAGTAATTGGGAATATCCTATTGTAGAATTAGCCCCTGGTTCTCTGGAAGTCCTTTTGACATGCTATTTAGTTCAGTAAACATTTCTGAGTTCTTTGTATGCAGTATGCTTGATGCTAAGCACCAGTATGAGATGATTATACTAGTAGTGCTGGTAGAATGCTGTATGAAGGCATTCTCCTGTACTTACAGACTTAAAAGTTTAAACTGATAATATCGATTCCTTACATTTGTATGGTGCTTTAAAGACTTCAAAATACTTTCATAGGACTTATTCTAGTCACTCTGTAAGGTATTATCTTCATTGTAAAGTTTGGCCTTAGGTTTGGAAACATTACCTAAGGTCACATGGCAGAACTCGGTCTCAAATCCATATCTTTGAAATTCTCATTGACTGCTCTTTTTCATCACATCACAGTCCCTTCTAGACTACTATCAGGACGTGTGGAAAGTCTGCCTCTCCAGGTTGTGGGAATCAGGCTGTTACGGGACCAGAGTATGCCCCCATAGATTACTTACTAATTACAAAGGTAAAATGTACCTTTACAATGAAAAGTTCTAGCAGCCGCCACTTTAACCAACGAATGCAGTTTAGTTTTCTTAATAGTGGAACCACCTGACATTATGCACATTTCAAATGTGGTGTGATGCAATATGAAATGAAGAATATAATTTGTAGTGTGATTTGCAAAAAAAAAAAGAAAAGAAAAGAAAAAGAAAGAAATCAAGCCTCTAGCGTCTACTTGTACATGCATGCTTACGGAGAGAATGAGCAGACATGGCAAAATGCTAAGAACTGTTTTATCTAGGTTTAGGGTATACAGGTGTTCACTGCGTTGTTTTCTCAACTTTCCATTTGTATTAAAATTATAAGAAAATATTGGAGGAGAAAAATACCAGCTCTCCGCACAGAGTCGCCTTGGACGTCAGCGGCTCAGCGATCCTGGACGTACAGGTACCGTCCCTCCAGCTCCGCTCCCGCCCCGCCCCGCCCCGCCACGCCTCGCCCGCCTCCGGGCCCGGTCTGGGCATGCTCAGAGGCCCCACCGCGTTCGCCCCGCCCCTCGGCTTACGCGTGCGCGCAGGGCGCAGGCGCGCGGCTCCGCCTGCCCGCGAGAAGCCGGCCGCGGGACGCGGTTGGCGTGTGACGTGCGGAGCTTGTGTAAGGATGGAGCCTCTGAAGGTGGAAAAGTTCAGCAGCACCGACAGGGGAAATGGGCTGCGCGCCTCGGCGCCGCTGCGCCCCGGAGAGCTGCTCTTCCGCTCCGATCCCTTGGCGTACACGGTGTGCAAGGGGAGTCGCGGGGTTGTGTGCGACCGCTGCCTCCTCGGGTAGGTACGGAGCACGCCCGCCCACCTGAGTGCTGTCAGTGCGGGGTCCGGGGTGCTGGGG